ATTTTACTTATTTTCGCTTTTGAGGAGAAACATTGATTTATGCTTTGAGTTATGTTGTTTTATATTGTTTGATGTACTTTGGGAAAACCCGTAGTTACAGAGTATGGACCTATTTTGTTGACTTTGAGAAATGTACACCCTTTTGTGGCTTTTTAATGAAATTTATTTATTCACTCTGATTTTTATGTTATTTTACCTTAATAATTTTGGGGTAGAAAAAAGGTGTTACACAAATTACTAAAATTAAAACATAATGATAATAATAATAATAGTAATCAAATAATAAAAAAGAAATAATAAACAAACAGAAAAATGAGATAAATTGGGGAAAATTATTGTTGCTGCTTCATTTTCACGTAGGATTTTTTTTGAAGACTCCTCATTCCTCTTCATTTCTGTCGCCGGCCATTGAAGCTCTCACTGGAGCTTTTCTCTTCTTCGTCCACATGCATATCGTTATCTCCTTCCCCTCTTCGATTTTTGTTCCTGTAAAACGAAAATGAAAAGAAAAAAAATTAGTAGCCCGGATTGCTCACCTTCTGTGAGGAGGGTTCGTAGTGATTCCTGTAGGATTCGATGGTGATGTGGCGGTTTCTGATTGCATTTGATGCTTAGACGATGATGAAGACGAGGAAGCCAATCCTCCTTCTGAGTCTAGTCGGTGACGTTTCGAAGTTATTCTTCCTCTTTCCGGCTGCCGCGAAAAAGTTTTTCTCTTCCTCTTCTCGGTTTGATGATGATGAAGCCTTTAATGGCTTTTCCGAAACCCGTCCTTGCCGCCGCCGCTTTTACTTTTTTGGGTCTTTTTGGATGCTTCTCTTCTTTCGTCTTTCTCGACGGTGATGATGATGAAGCTAAGTGCTTCTTCTGAACCGTCTTCTTCACTTTGGTTCGCCTCTGCTCTTCGTTTGTTGCTTAGGGATGATGATGAAACCGTTAACGGCTTTATGAATCCCTCTCGTTGATGAATTCTTTTGCGCCATTTTTCGCCTTAGGGTTCCTCCCGATCCCTTTTTTTTGAAACTTATGATGAACTTATATGTTTTGATCTCTGGGCTGGATCTATTGTGGGGTTCCGAGTTTGGTGTTGGATCCACGAAATTTTCGGTGAAACTGTTGCTATGTTTACGGTGATTTCATCTGGTGAACTTGCTTGTTTGTTTTGAAACTCGGAAAGCCGTTGCCCGTTAAATTTGTTGCTCAGAATAATGCGAAATCCATGCTGGAAATGTTGTTTGACGTTACTGCTGCTGTGTTGATTTTGGGATTCTTTGAATTGATTATTGTTGCTGAGTTGGTTGGATGATTCCGTTTTTTTTTCCAGGAGACTCTCGTTTGATCCATGGGCCTGATGATTTTTCTGAAAAGTTCTGTTTAAGCTATGTTTGGCAAAATGGTTTTTCCTTAAACAAGCTTTTTTCAAAAGCACTTTATTATTTTGCCGTTTATTATTTTGCAGGTTCGGAGAAAAGTCGGAAGTTTGAAATCGAGAGTCGGAGGACCTTAGGATTTTTTAGGAAAAAAGAAAATGTAATTTACTATTATTTTTGTAATTTTATTTTTTATTATTTTTTTTTGTAAAGAATTAAGATTGTTAATAAAAATTCTTTGATTTATTTATTTACTATTTGTTATTGATATGCAAATAAAATGAAAAACTAAAATTAAAAATGAAACAAAATTATTTTAAAAAATGGAAATGAGAGCAATATTTATAATCTTAAAGAATGAAGTGGAAACAGCGAAATTATTTAAAAATGCAATGATAATAAAAATTGAAAAATGAAATGCAAATGACATTAAAAAATAAAATGGATTTGACATAAAATGATAATAAAATGAAATACAATTGATTTAAAATAAAAATGAAAAATGAAATGAAATTCTATATTTTTTATTAATTTCTAATTCCTCCAATTTATCCGACTAATCTCGTTTCCGACAAAATCTTCGATTAAATCTTCCGGCAATTCAAATGAGCAACTTTATCCGGATAAATCCAACTGTCTGATTAAACTCAAATGATCATATTCTTCGGCTAACTTTAATCTAACAATTGGAATCGACTTAATTTGAATAGCTCAACCTCCACAATCAAACCATTCCAACTACACCTCGGCCCTGACTCACGTCAACAATGTCCAACGGCTCAAATTTCTTGACTACAGCTCAAAATTCGTAAATTGACGGCCGAATGCAAGCAAATGACCATTTTACCCTTCATGAACTAAAAAGCGCGCCACATGATATTTTTCTGCAAAAATCAACCAACTACACAAACTTGTTAGAGACTGGTTACATACAATACAAAAATGCAATGAAATACGAGATGAAACGACAAATCTTAGGGCAAAATTTGGGGTGTTACAACATGAAATTGACTACTATGAAGTTTTTGCTTCGGTAGCACGACTGGATACAGTTAGAATGTTAATTGCATCGGCTGTGCAAAAGGGGTGGACAATTTTTCAACTCGGCGTCAAATCTGCCTTTTTACATGGGAAACTAATGGAAGAAGTTTTTGTTGATCAACCTAAAGGCTACGAGAAGAAAGGGAATGAGCACTTAGTGTATAAGCTGCACAAAGCACTGTACGGACTGAAACAAGCGCCACGGGCCTGGTTCAGTTGCATCAAAACTCACTTCATCAAGGAGGGATTTCAAAATTGTGACAGTGAACAAGCACTTTTCATCAAGAGGAGAAATGAGGGCAAGATTATCATTGTAAGTGTTTACGTTGATGATTTAATATTTATAGGTGATGATGAGAAGTTAATGAGGGAATTCAAAGATTCCATGATGAGAGAATTTGACACGTCAGACTTAGGGAGGATGAGTTATTTCTTAGGAATTGAAGTTGTGCAGCAAAGGGAAGGGATTTTCATTTGTCAAAGGAGGTATGCAGAGGAGGTCCTACAAAGACTCAACATGTTTGAGAGCAATTCAATCAGCAACCCAATTGTTCCTGGAGTAAAGATCAGTAGCGATGCAGACGGAGTACGGGTGGATGAGACTTATTACAAGCAGATTATGGGCAGCCTCATGTACCTTACTTCAACCCGACCATATTTGATGTTTGCAACAAGCTTAATCAGCAGGTATATGTCGAAATCTACTAAGCTTCACTTACAAATTGCAAAGAGAATCCTTAGATACTTGAAAGGAACTATGGACTTTGGAATCTTTTACAAGAAAGATGGTCAAAATCTTAAGGTTACATAGATAGTGACTATGCCGGTGATATTGAAGATATGAAAAGTACTAGCGGATATACTTTCCTACTCAGTTCAGGAGCTGTGGCATGGAGCTCAAGAAAATAACCTATAGTCACACTGTCTACGACAGAAGCCGAGTTTGTTGCGGCTGCCGTTTGTGCCTGTCAAGTTGTATGGATGCGAAGAATTCTCAAAGAGCTATGTTATGAAGGAGAAGAATGCACCAGCATCAAGTGTGATAATAGCTCCACTATCAAACTGTCCAAAAACTCGGTAATGCACGGACGCAGCAAGCATATAGACATTCGTTATCATTTTTTAAGAAATCAGTCAGAAGAAGGAACTATTGCTTTGATGTACTGTACTAGTGCTGATCAAGTAGCCAACATCATGACCAAGCCATTAAAAGCCGATGTTTTTCAAAAACTTCGAAGATCATTGGGAATGTGTGATATTACAGAGATAAGCTAAGTATTAGTTTAAAGGTACTTAAGGGAGATATTGAAAGAGCCGTTAAGTGTTTAGAATAAGTATTAGAGTTTGTTTTAGTCAATTAATAAAGTTCCTAGTTTGTAGGAGATAGAATAGGTCATTCATTCTAATTTTGTTATGGCTTCTGTTATGCCAAGTTTTACGTTTGTTTCTGTTATGATTAAAGACTATATATGAGCCTTAGTATCTTGAATAAAAGGGCACGTTGATTCACTAAATATAGAGCTTTCATCCTCTACCGATAGTTGCCCTTCACACTAATACGTCGACATATAGCGACAACGCAGTGGTCACTGAACCATCATATAATCTCCATAATGTTTCCATTTCAACGATTTATCAAAATATGACATCACAAATCATTTGATCAAAAGAATTTAATTATTGATGTGGATGGCATAAATAATTGATTATTAAAAAAGAAAAACATATAGTAGAATGAAAAAAGTAAAATAGAAAGAAAGAAGGTTGGAAATATTCTACTTTATTCTTACATAATTAACTTATAAAGTGATTACCAACACTAATTTTTTTTAGAAGTCCTATCTTTATTTAAAGTGGGATTTGAGTTTCTTCCCATGCCTTTTGTGTGCTAAACATTTTCCCACGAAAGTGAAACCGGGCAAAAACTATAGCTCACAAGTGAGGGTGTGACATAGACATGTTGTTTTCTTATCCTAAATAATGGTGATTCAGAAAGTTCAAACCACAAAAAGAAAACCATGGTGTGACGTAACAAAATCTGTAACTCCTTAAAGTTACTTAAAATTCCATATTTCATTTTCGAAATAAGAGAAAGAGAGACGTGGGAGAGAGACTCTTTCGAGGAAGGCGTGCTAAAAAATCACAAGTTGTTTGAATAAAGAAATGAAAAAAACCCTATTGTCGTAGACTTTTCAATTTGCCAATCTTGAATAATAGTGTGCCGAACATCCTAGGATATATAGATATATATATATATATATATATATATATATATATATATATATATATATATATATATATATATATATATATATATATATATATATATATATATATATATATATATATATATATATATATATATATATATATATATATATATATATATATATATATATATATATATATATATATATATATATATATATATATATATATATATATATATATATATAAAGGCTTGAGAAACAAAGTTGAACATTCTAGTTTCTAAGGAGCACAAGAGAGTTAACTTAACTACCTACTGAGTACAGCACAACAATATTCATATATCTTCTTCTTGTATCATACCAATCATAATTAGAAGATATGGTTAGAGCTCCATGTTGTGAAAAGAAGGGATTGAAGAAAGGTCCATGGAGCTTAGAGGAAGATGAAATCCTCACATCATACATCCAAAAACATGGACATGCCAATTGGCGTGCACTTCCAAAACATGCAGGTATATATTTCTTAATCTCTCAACTTTATCATTTACATATATATACTTGTGTGTTGATTTAGTTCTGTTGTAAAATTTGCAGGTTTATTAAGATGTGGAAAGAGTTGTAGATTGAGATGGATTAACTACTTAAGTCCTGATATTAAGAGAGGGAATTTTACAAATGAAGAAGAACAAATCATCATTCAGATGCATCAATTGCTGGGGAACAGGTACATTAATTAATTCAATTGGTTCATAACAGTATCATTTTTCTGATAATTTAGTTATTAACAAGGTTTAAGCAGTAGCAGTAATAGTTATTTATTTATCAGGGATAAAACAAATTGTGTAATTTATATTCACATTTAATTACAATTGTATATAGTTTTATATCTGCTGGTCATATAAAAAAGGTTTTACAACAACTTTCAATATAATATTATTTTTTAGCACATGCAATTATATAACGTATATCCTTAACATATGTACATAGCAATATGTGCATGAATACGAATCTTATACATTAATTAATTAATTAATTAAATAATCTAATTTTTGTGTTTTTCAGATGGTCAGCTATAGCAGCAAAATTACCTGGAAGAACAGACAATGAAATAAAAAATGTATGGCACACACATTTGAAGAAGAGACTATTGAAAATCAATAATAACCAACCCAATTCAAGTACCAAAAAGAGAGTATCAAAATCAAAAGTTAAAACATCTGATTCCAATTCCAATTCCAATTCAAGCACTTTAACTCAATCATATGAACCTTCTAATGCTCCTACTAGTTTGCCTGAAATGGAAAGTACATCATTAAATGACACTTTTTCTAGTGATTTTTCGTTTCAAGGAAAAAATATTGACAATAGCATCAATTGTGAAGACCCTGAAGACTCACATGTGACAATGCTTGAAATTGATGAAAGCTTTTGGTCACAGACAATAACTGATGATGAAATTAGCTCCACTATGCCAACAAAAAGTGAATTACCAAATCAACAACATCCTTTTAATTATTCAGTGGAAATTTTCCAAAATTCTTTTGAAGATGATGATGGCATGGATTTTTGGTATGACTTGTTTATTAGATCTGGGGATTCAACAGAATTGCCAGAGTTCTAAACTTTTTCTAGGTGATAAAGGGTAGGAATAATATGATGTAATATGGTGAGGGGCTAAAAGGGAAATACCAACTTTTGTTTATAAAATATACTCTACTATGAAAAACATTAGCTTAGCTAAACTTTTTTTTTTCCTTGTACGTAAAAGATTAGATAATTAGGTCAAAGTTAGTCAATTGTAAAAGCAATAAATTATGAACCGAATAATGGGAATTATTCTAAAATAAAATTCTCACTTCATTTGTTTGATTACTTTACTGTGTGATTGATTTATACGTGGCATGATTGCTTCCAGGTCATTGTTTCGGGCAGGCCATAGGACTAAGGATAGAAAAATCTAATCATGATGAAGTCTGATCCAAGAACATGCCGGTCAAGGCGTTGAGGATTAAGGATAGAAAAATCTAATCATGATGAAGCCTGATCCAAGAACATGCTGGCAAGGCGTTGAGGGCCCACCGGACTTGCAACTAGGGGACTTGCACTTGATCCTCACTGCAGAACGACCGTCCAATGTTAGATACAATCAAATAGTCTCTTTGTAAGATGTCGAATCACATGAGGACACAATGTATAAAGCCCAACACATATCATTTAAGATATTATTTCATTCATTCACTAATATTACTTTTTCACTCATTCACTAACTTGAGTGATGAAGTTCAAATTTTATAGGTCTACCTTTGCTCCGCCATAGTAGAAGTTCCCTCCACCGTACCAGAACTCCATTTTATTCGATATCTACCAATTTTTGGTTCTAGTTTAGAACAACGGTATCGTTTATGAAAATCGGTGTCTGATTCTCACAAATTTTGATGATTATATTCTTTTAATCCCAAAGTCATGAATGATGATGTTTGATCCAGTGACTGAAGTCACCACTTATCTATCAACCCCAAAATCATCCCCTTACCTTGCCATCTCTCCCATTGATGGTGGACCGCTTGGAAAGAGAGATGGGGAATGGGAAGCATCTAGTGCGAAACTCTTCAAGATTGCCAGTGGTAATTGGAAGACATGATTGTGACATACCTATTATACGATTTTGAGATTGGGAGAAAGTGGGTGAAGCTTCTGATGTGATGCTTTGATCCGCTGTCGTGCACAGATCAAAAACGAATATTTTTTTGAAAAAGTAAAAAAGGGAAGCGACACTCGAATGTCGTATCGCAATGATTCTTGTATTATTTCAACCAACTAAAGAAAAGGTTTATGGGAGGTTTAAAGTTTTAATTTATAAAACAAGAGAAGAAATGATTAAAATAAGTGATTATCAATTAAGCTAAAACGACACTACGCCAAAATTGATATTTTGTATCACATAATTTAATAGCACTTTTAAAGAAAGTGCTATTAAAAAGGAATCAAACATATCTATAACAACACTTTATGGTCGAACGCTATTATAGGGTGTAGACAATGTGATTTTGATAGCACTTTATTAGAAAACACTATTATTAAACTTCACTAACATAGCGCTTTCTTTAAAACGCTATTATAGAGTGTAGACAATGTGATTTTGATAGCACTTTATTAGAAAACACTATTATTAAACTTCACTAACATAGCGCTTTCTTTAAAACGCTATTAATATTCTTTATTAAAATAGCACTTTTTGAAAAACGCTATTAATTTACTATAAAAAACACTTCTCTATTCATTAGATCCTTCAAACATTTTCTAAACAAAAACAGTCACATCATCGTTCCTTCGATTCACTCACACCGTTGCTGCCGCCCCACACTTTTTCCTCTCTCTATCCCATTTTCTCTCATCTCTCTATCAACCCTTCAAAACCCTACACCGCTGCTGCCGCCCCTCCCCACCCTCGTCCTTCGTTTCTCCTCTGGTTGGAATTTCAACGACAAACCACCGTCCATAACCACCTCGAATCTGCAACCACTTCGACGAAGAACCTCCCTCCGTCCGTGAAACCACTGTGTCTTCCTCCGCTAAATCCGCCGCCATTGAAATCGCCGTTGAAAGAGGGATATCGTGAGAGGTTTTTTTTGGAAGATGGAGGACTTTTGTTCTTCTGGGTTTTTCACCTGTGATGAGAGAATGTCTCAAGCTTCTAGGAAGCAGGTTTGTGCCTTATCTCGATTTTTTATCAGGAAACTAATAATGGAGTTGTAGATGCGGCTGGACGCCCTAGTTCAGGGTGCATTGGTGATGATTGTGGGATGGAGCTTAGGTTCCACTCTCTGAATTCGTGACCCTCGAACATGGATTGAAGATGGTAAAGGCGAGCTGGAGAATCCACAGTTTGACTTTGCTGAGGGTTAAAGCTGTTCACGGACCTGGTTTGGAAGGATTTCTTTGATTAAATTTTTTCCTTCTTAATTCACCCTAGGGATTGTGTTAGTTATCACTTAGGAAATAAAAAGGAATCCTTGACATCGATTATGATGATTTTTCTTTGAAAATCATGATTTCTTGTTATCTTCAAACGAGGTCTATTACTTTTTGGCGGCATGACCCTTGTTTGCTTCTATAACAGGAAGTTTAGGGTCTGATGCATGACCTTGGGGCCTCTTTGGAGGATACATCTTCAGGTGTGATCGCAGCGTGACGAAGAAGCGTTCGCTTGCGTACATTAGGTTCTGTTTCTTATACACGATTTAATTGTTGTTCTTGTGTCAACAGATTGTTAACATTAGGCCTTGACTTGTTTTGGACAGGTTTTCTTGATGTTCATTCTTCGCTAGGTGACGATAACGAGATGGTCTTGAGACTCTTCTTTTCTATTGAGCTCCTGCGTAGTTTCCGTTTAGGCCAGTTCCTACTATTTATGACGACGACGCGTAATAACTTGGTACTGTTGCCTTTGATATTGTTGTAGGGTGTCAATAGTGGGAATGTCGAGAATCATTCTTTCAAAGCGGCAACTTTCACTTAGAACTTCTCCAGGAGGATAATTTGATGCTGTCTTCACAATCTTCCAATCAATTTTCACCACAGCAGCAACTTATGCCTCAGGCACAAAAGGATTTAGTTAATCCACTTCTCTGTGATTTTGTTGGCAATAACCAGCTCGGAGATATGTTTTCAAGCCTCACTAAACTCAAACAATTGTAGGTCTAACCATACTTTTCGCAACGATTTAATATCATGATATGTATTTTGCTGTGCTCATTTTCGTATTTGGTTGGCTAAAGGAGAAACTATTATTAATAACATGGTTCTAGAAATATACAATTTGAATAATTTATTAATATGGCATGGAACCAATTAACTGAACTGGTTGTTTTCTTAATTCGGAGATGACTCGATTCTATTTTGAGGTTCTTGTTTTAGAGAAACATATTTTTTGGTATGTATATATTTTAAATTAAATCCACTGTTATACAAAACTTGCGGATTTCTTTCCATCTCCTCTTGAAAACGTAAGGCGAGGTTGTCTACAAATGATCTACAATAGGTTCAATGCGTCCTTGAACCCCGTTATGATGGGAGGTATAACACTAGGCTATGCTGATGCAGAAAAGCTTCTATATCCATAGTGCAATACACGCTATATTTCATATTTTCATATATAACTTCTGCCACTTTTATTATATATAATATATACATCACATGTAATGGTGTGCTTATTTGTGTTTAGGTATGTACTTAGAACATCAGTTATAAGTTGTTCTCCTTCTTATCTGATTTCTTAGTATGTGATTATTAGGTTCCTTCATACATTAAATTTCTTTTGACCGTTAATCTGAAATACAATATAGGGATGTATCATATAATTCACTATCAGGAGACCTA